TATAATCACTTAATGTTATTAAAGGTAAAAAAAATTAAAATTTATTAGATAATTATTAATTAAAAAATGTGACCACAAATTAAAAAATTAAAATAGATAAATTTATCAATAAAATTAAAAAATTTTAATCCGTTAGTGATTTGGTATAAAAAATTACATAAACTAGTTTTTTCAATTTGTTAACAGTTTGGACCTTAACTGTTATCCGTTAGTTTCAAACTGCTAAATAAAAATTTTACCGAATACTTTATTTATAATAATTTTAAAATATATAAATTTATTAAACACCTATATTTAACAATTTAAATAAAATCATTAACCCAATATACCAAACGGGCTAACTCTTAAAAGCAAGGTCAGAACCAAGAGGAATGGAAAAATTGTGAGATGAAAATGGAGTGGTTGAAGATAATTTAGCATCTCTTTCAATGCTCTGTCATATTTATTAATTCTTTACCCATTTATTAATTACACCCACTTCTCTTTCCTAATTAATTCCCCTTTTTTTTTAACATTGAAAAATTTGAGAATGGGGATATCTTTTTTAAGTTGTTGGAGAAATTTAAATTTTTAATTAATTAAATTTAAACACTTAAAATTTAAAAATAGATGACTTAATTTGAAGGTCTAGTTCAATTTCCCTTCCTTTTATTGGCTACTAACTTTTAATATGAAATGGACCTCTGCCCATCTTTTATGACTTTTCAATGCTCTTTCATATTTATTACTCTTACCTCCATTTTTAGTATATACTCAATTTAATTTTTTAATATAAATTTTAAATAAAATTTTAATAATTTATATAAATAATAATTAAATTTTTTATATACAATTCTTATTAAATATTTTCGTTTAATAAAAATTTTGTAATTATTTTTTCTATAATATATTTTAAAAAAATATAAAAATTAAACTAAATTTATTAAAATTTGAGGGAGGGAATAATTCTTTTACCTTTTTCAATGCACTTCTCCTTCCTACTTTATTAAAATAATGATAAACGACCAAAATTTTCGGATTAAAATTGGAAACCAATACACGAGATATAAACAACGATATTATATAATTAATAATTTC